CGTTCCGCAAGATGCGTCGGCACGGCAGCGTAATGCGCCGATTCTCAAAAATCGTTGCATATATGCATGCAAAATTGCGCGTATGCGCGCTCACCGAGAGCGATCGACGGCGCCGATCTCCCGCGCGATCGGTCGCCCCGACACAAGCCGCGTTGATGCGCGCGACCGGAAGTGACCGCTCGTCGGCGAGATAACGATAATCAAGCAGACGCAACAAGAGTGCGTCGTGTTCTTAAATAAAATTGCACGTTGCCGTGCACATAAACTCGACGCATGACGAGAGACCTGGACGAAAGGGGGAACTGGGAGAATGGCTGTATTAAATCCTGTACCCTTTCTTTTTAATTTTCTGCTATCTTCTGCTTTATCTGTCCCTTCAACGGTTTATGATTTTGATGACACGCGTGGACTTGCGTAACCAGAACGGATGATATCTTTCACTGATTGTGAGGCATTGATTAAGAGTAAGATTACTTTTCAATGATAACTTTTCTTACATGAAAAAATATGATACATCAGATACCATCACTTTCCAATAATTAGGATTTCTTTTTTAATTGATTGGAACTTTTGAAAGATTTTTACATTTATCGATAGTATATCTTAATTTTTCCTGAATAAATTATTTTTGTAATTAAGATTAACTCCTGTATTTTATGGCAAAATATATTCTTAAATGAATTTATCATAAGAATATTCAGAATTACCAATATGCATTGATGTGTCATTCATATTAGAGTTACCATTAACTATTTATGATGCATCATTTAGTAAGCTTTGAAATACGATGCTATTTTCACGCGACTGACTAAATACGATTGTTAAATCGATAACACGATACAGCATATGTGTATACTCTAAACATCGAATTGATATGTCATGCATGATTGATCGTCTTCAGAGACAAAATCATTACAAATAGAGAGAATTCCGAATTACAAATATTATTATCTATTGATAAAAAGAAGTTATAATTAATTAAAAATCTTCAATAGGTTGGATAATCACGGATACCGACTTTGCCGTGAACAATTTATAGAAGGATCGCTGACGAAAATATTGTATTCGATGGTGTAAATAAAATAGCGTAATTTTATTCGCAATGTGAAATACGATTTGTCCTAACGCGATGCATTAACGAAGCGAGAGTGCGCGTGCGAAGGGGAAAGAGAAAGAAGAGAAATAAGGGTGTCAAAAGGGAAACGACGGAGAAACAGGAAAATGAGAAGTAGGAGCGGTTAGCGTATAATGCCAAGCTCGTATTTTATCCACTCGAGTTTTCTTCCTCGCAATTGCAGTCGCATGTATACCTGCGTGGCCTGCGCAGCTCGCCAACGCATGATTAGCGCAGAGTCGCCATGGATAATTTTGTTTGCAAGTTAAATGAGGAACTGCTTCTTTTATACACGGGCGTCCGCATACAGAGAGGAAAATGGAAAACGCAAAAAGAGACAAAGGACAAAGGGCACGAAGGAATGGAGTAATAAACGAAAATGAACAAAGAAGAAACAGTGGTATGCGGGAAGAATTCGTTAATAGAGCGATCATGGTTTCCTAATTCGTGTTAAGTAAACGAATATGTGAGAGAGTTAATATCGCGTTAATTAACTGAATATATGAGATTAAGATAAAAGTTCACAAGATAAAACTTAATAAAAAGCCGTTGAAGGGTCGGCTTCCGCGATCGCTCGTGACGAGCTCAGACCTCATCCTCTATCACTCGTAATTAGTTTCCTTCATGGGGATTTTGGTAGAATCATGATAAACTTGTTGCTCGTGAAACGATTTGTGTTAAGAGACGACGGCTGGAGGTCGGGCCGGAAGAAAAGCAGAAAAACGAAGAGAAACAACGTAATGCCAGTAATAGCGTATGCAAAGCGGGGGAGGGCAAAGCAGTCGGGGCCGCACTTAAATCATTGTACACGCACATGTATATCCGCCTGCCGATAGAAGCCGACGAAGGTATACGGAGCATCTTTTGTGCGAGATAATGAGAAGGATTCAATTAGTCTGCGGCTGGCATCTAATGCCCTCTCCCTGATTACAGTTCGAGCCCGAGCGACGTGAACGTGCCAATAAAATTTCTAAGTACAAAAGTACAAAAAAAAATTGCGTAGCATGTACAAGTTATTTTAAAATTACGAAAAATATCTGCAATTAGCTGCAAAAGATATTTTTGAATATGTAAATATTTTATAGAGACAAATTTTTGTTTCATTCAATTGCTATATCGGCGATTATCAATAACTATCACGCTCGCAATCCAATAATGTAACATATTTTATTAAAAGAAGCATTAGAAAGAAACTAATAATTATAAATTTCTAATTAGAACAAAATCTTTTGAAGTTCTTTCGGTTCTTATTTCGCTGCAGAATGCGCCAGACAAAATTTAATGACCTATGGCTGACGTTGCCCGTAAATTACAAAACCTACGACCAGCAGAATATGCGCTGCTCGTTTGTCGCACGTGCTGTCCTGGTGGAAAATTATGGCTTCAGAAAATAGTAAGTTTCCAAGACGTCGGAAATATGACTACCGAACATTAAATAATTGATGAAAGAAACAATTTATGCTGATGTTAATGACAATATTTATATTGTGATAATAACGATATTTCTAATTGTATATAAAATCCGATAAAAAATGAAAATATTTTATTAAATAATGCAATAAATCATCATAACAGAAATTCGTCGAAAATATTCATATCGTTACATTAATAAGTATTCGTTACTAAAAGAATTAATTTTTATTCGGTCATTGCATTTTATCACTTCTACTATTTAATTTCAGAAATTTCAATAAGGAACTCTAAAAGCTAGAAGAGCGTAAGCTCGAATGTCTTCGGTAATTTTACAAAATTCCTTAATGTCATGCGGGCAGAGTGCGTGCAATCACGCGTAACTCTCAGCTAGTTCGATCGCCGGAATTTAATTACGGATGGACCGGATAAAGGCTGGCGGATAGCCCTCCGATAGCATTAGCTGTAGGCTATGCGATCTCATATCGTCAAACCAACCCGCCTGACTGATACTGACATCCTGCATGATATAACACTAAACTCCCTCTATTTTCATTGTTTCTTTTTTTATTTTTCTCCACAATACGATTCAAAAATACGATATTACCTTGTAAAACGCAATGCATGCAACTGTTATCAAGTATCTTTCAAAGTGCAATACACAAAAGTGATATTATCGCATGTCCAATTGTACATAGAAAAAATAAGATAACGCCGGCATGCAAACTTTTGCGAATAATTTTTAACGATTCAGTTTGGAATTTATACTTCAATTTTTCTCTACAGTAATACAAATTGTGATAAAGATATTTAATTTTTCTATAATGAAAATATTATAACAAAAAATATTCTTTCTTCTCTTAAGCATGATTATTTTATAATTCAGCATTTTGAAAAATTTTCAAAAAACAGATTTATATATATATATATGTATATATGTATATATTACTCTAAAATTTTTGATTGTAACATTTTAATATTATCTCATTCAAAATAATGTTTTTCAAAATGTATAAAATTATGAAAATCGCTTCAGATGTTTTACTAATTAATATTTGATCCAATTAAAAGCATCTGATTAACTCATAAAATATGATAAACCTTATTATTATTTTTTAATTAAAAATTTCTTTTCATTAAAATAATTCAAATTACTGACCGTAAACATTATTCATCAAACTTCAAAGCATTGATCACATTTACGCTTAAACGAATAAATGTGGAACAGCCAAAGAGGACGTCAATTAATAACCGAGGAACCAATCTCCATTTTCGATCTCCTAAATTTGCTGAAAGATAATCCGATGTTTATTTAAAAAGCCGCAGGTGTCGATTGCGCGGTCGCCATTTATATCGGATGTGCTCGCGCTATCGTATTTTATTTTTTTCTCGGGGAAAAGGTTTGCTCCTTTTATCTCCCTTTTTAAGTTTACCTCTTTCCTCGCTCTCGCTTCGCATTTTGCCTTCGTTTTGGCAAAATACCAGAGTGCCGTCATCCGTTTGCCTTTGACGCGTACCAGTCGGAAACACAGTTTCTCATAATTTCATAATCCAGTAGATTGCATGTAGACAGAATGGATTCGGTTGGACGTGGTACAGAATACAATAATACTAAAATATTGCGAATCAGCGAGGGATGATATACGATCATGTCGAGCTCTTCAGAGTCTATTGTTCATTCAATAAATATCGCATTCAATGAATTTCATTTAATAAATAAATATAAATTAATAAAAAATTGTTAAGAATAACAGACCGAGATCAGAGAAGAGGAATTTTTTTCATTTATTCAAACTTTTTAGAAATATTCGTTAATTACCAATTTGCATATAATTTGTCGTACATTGCTATATGTATATAATTTTTTCTCTTTTTCTCTCTCTATTTTTTCCTCTTTCTCTCGTTTGATCGTGGTTAAACCGCTACATTAAATTTTTTGTTGCTGCGTCAGCGGCCAATGGAGAATTTTTCGCCCGCAGATGATGCATGAGGTTATTAACGCCAGAGGCGCCTCCACCTCGTAAACTTTCACGAGATCACGAAGTTCAAGAAGCTTTTTCCGGTTCTTACATCTAGACTTTTTTAAGTCTAGCTCGTGCCGCGCAATTTACAAGGAAAGTGTGACATGAAGGTAAACTGAGAACGCTATTGTTGTAAATCGCTTGTCATTTTTATAACACTATGTCATTTTTTAAAGGTTTTAATAATATGATATTGCCATAGAAATGACCTTGCTCTTTGATAGAATCAATATTTTAAGCGTGTCATAAATTTATATTCAACTGCAATATTAATCATTAGATTTTTACATACCGTTTAACAAATTTGAGAATAAATAAAATATTTATGTTTATATATTTACAAGTTGAATTTATTACAAGAAATTCTTGTAATAAATTTTTGTTTCGTAATATGTTCACTATGTGGACTAAATTCAAAGAAAATATTTTAATAGAGAAGAGTACTAATCACTCACCAGATAGGATGTTCTTTCGATTGAAGAGATGCAAAGTTCTGCCAAAATCTATAATTAAAATCATCAATTAGTTATATTTTCAAATAACGTAACAATTGAGAGAATAAGTAAATGAATTATATCAGAATAATAATCATGAAATCATATACCATTTTTCGTAAAACAGGATGACTTTAATGGTAAAAGTTTTGATTTATAGGAATAAAAGCTAACACATCAGAAAAGCTCTTTACGAAATTGAATATTAATCAATCTCATTAAGCACGTGGGATGAGCATTCAGATTCATAGCAATGAATAATATATAATATACAATATTCTCATGCATATATAAACTTATATATGAAATCAGCCAGCCAATTTCTAAATTATAGCATATTGACAATCAAATTATCAATACTGCTATTAAATAAATAAATTTGTTCATTTTTTGACGAATCATTGAGATTTATATATAATAAAATGGTCTCTCTATAAAAACTTTATTTGAATATTTTGCTATTAAGATTGTTTCAACCGAGAAAGAGATAAATGTCGAAACTTGCTGATAAAATTCATACAATTTCAATGCGAATGTGAGCACTATTCACAGTTGACGATTGTCTTAGACTTAGCGTTGCACTGCAGCCGACTATCGAATAATCCCTTCAAAGAGGTCCGAACGTTCGAAACGTTTGTATTGGCGGTTAGGTAGAGTTTCGCAGAATTTCGCAAAGCGACGGAAAGTTTGCACAATGGCAAAACCGGTCTTAAGTGCAGCTTCGAACTTGCTCTGTGGCGGTTAAGAGCTGCGCGCTTTGAGCAGCACACAATATAATAATGAGTCACTTTGCGCGCACGTTGATGCGATGCGTGTCACTTGTACGTAATTAAATACGGGCATATCGAGTTGAGAGTAAGTCAGGTGTGAACACGTAAGCAAACAGAAGAGAACCCGGAGCGAAATGCAAAAGACTGAAAATCGAGGAAGCTACTCCTGTACCGTGCGAGATGCTGTCGGTTTTGCGGTTCGACCTCTCAGTCGAGGCAGCTGCCAATCGAGGGACACCGGTCGTTTTTCAAAGGACATTAATGAGATTACACCTGTTGCGGTTTTCTCAAATTTCGAAACCCGCGCACTACATTTCAGTTTTTTATGAATGTTAACACTGCATATCATAAAATTGCACTCGACGTTAAAATTGCCTGCCTGCTAAAATTTGTTTTCTCGTTTATGATTCTCTTTGATATATGATATATTACGCATTATGATATTTCTCGTGACTTAAAAGAGATATAACATAATATACAAAATTAGTAACAAAAATAAAAACAAATAAGTTATCAAAAACATATTTAATAAAAATATCAAAAGGCATAAACAGATCATTTGTAGATATAAACTGTCTTATAATTTTATTAAATAAATATCCAAAATACTTTAATGTTTTCTAATTTCTGGAAGATTTAAATAAAAGTGTGTAATTTAATCTTAATTTTAATGTTTCAATATTACGCAATATTAAACTAATTTTTTTGAATGAATAATTATATTTCATTAGATTGAACCTCTAATTTAATAATCGAAGTTAATTGCTTCCCAGTTCTCTGCACATGATTAACGCAGAATTAATCAGAATTCCTCAAGGGTTTCATGGCCTAGATGGTTAGATCAATGGAATTCATCTCAAGATATTGACCTTCCAGACAGAAATTGTAGAGCCTAGAGCTTCGAATACAATTTCTGAAATTAGCCTCTGTATAATTTATTTCATTCGATTGATCATAAAACATGTAGCTTGTTTTTTTTATAACAGCATAATGTAGATTACTTATCTATTAAGAAATCAATCTATCTGATGAAATAATTAAATAAAATAAAAATCAGATATAATTAAATTAAAAGAAAAAAGAAAAAAAAGGATTTATAAACAATATCTGAAGCGACAGAAGAGCATGTAACAAAATATGGTATTTTCTGTAAAATTGCAGATAACAAGTTGAATTTGTCAATAATTAATGTTTCTATAAAATTTCCTATTATAAAGAAAATGTGAAAAAAATGTCGATTTTCTCATTTGGCGTGATCTATGAACAGAAAAGAAAGAGGTTAATATACTACACGCAGCGCAGCATGACTATAAATCCACACCAATATATATTGGACAGTGCATGCAGCCGGTGTTCACAAATATTTCCCAGTAGATGGAAGATTGATGCTGGGAGATGAAGGAAATTCCTCGATGCACGATGTAAGCGGAATTCTGAGTATACGTCTCGATTGCAAATAGGAATAAATTGGTCCATTCTCGGACGCGAAGACAATTTTCTATCTAAAAATTTTTGCGACACCGAAGATTTCTATAAGCGCTGTAATAAGTATGTAAGTTGCGTCTTTCGAGAATGTAATATTTATAAATAGTCTTCATTTTGTAAAGATAATAAAGAAAGAACAGAGAAATATGTATTATATAATAAAAAGACTTTTCCAGATTAGAAATATAAATCAAAACTTTTTTCATTTTATATTTTTTCGCATTTGATTCATTAATCTAATACTAAAATTAATCAAAAATATAATTTCCATTGATATTAAAGTTATAATTTTAAATATTTTAAGAATGTACATTTGCAATGTTTTACATATAATGCCACATAGTGTATGAATTTTATTTTTGTTTCGTGTGAATAATTGGCAGATATATATCGCTTATAACTTATAAAGCAATTTATAAGAATAAGTAGCTTATTGCAGCTAGATAAGCGCAAAAGATTCATTTCCTATCGATGCATATCTGCAAATTTACGACACAAACAGGAAGTAAGTTATGTGTTACGATCCTGTCGCTACGAAATATAGAACCTGATACATTTCAAATAGTTACGGATCAATGCGCAAGAAGATGAAGGAAGCTCCAATGGATCAGTACAGAAGCGAGAATATCAGTGATTTAGCATTCAAGTAAATCATGTCTCATTTGTGAGAAAATCTGAACGTATTATTAGACAGAAACTCTAGATATATCCACAAAAATATATGAACAAATGTAATAAACAAATACACAAATCTTACGAGTAAATTTATGCAAACAAGATATCATACATGTAGGAAGGAAAGAAATATAAATCAATATTCTGCGAGAAGATTTTCATTTAAAAAATTGCATCATTAGTTTATCAGATTAGTTTATCAGATCAAATATTTTGTATTTTCTATATAAAATAATTAAAATCGCTTATTTTATTTTATTTTACTTAATTTAGCTGCATTAACTGAAGAATATCATACGATACTAACGTAATTAAAATAAAAGAAGAAGAAGCTTTCATTAGAATCCGATCATATCGGATACATGCGTTTATCCGTATTTATAAAAATGTTTTATAAAAACAAGTATGATTTTACATAAATCTCAACATGACCAAATCGAATGTAACGTATACGAAAATTTTTATCGCGACGCTATGTATCAATGTCAAGCGGATATCCGGCGGAATGAACCCGAGGAGCGAACCGGCAAATGATCCACCGATTAATCTCCAACACCCGCGGGAAAAATTCAATTAAATTCGAATTGTGACCGTGGAGAGAGAAAAAAAAATATAATCCGCCTCATTGTCTGCGCACGCGGATTAAATCTGTCGATAAAATTCGAAATAAAAATTTCTCTTTATTTCTTTTTCTGACGCGTTACGTAAAATCTCCCGCGCGCTATGACACGCTATAACTTTTACATTAAATCTACGGACAATTTTTGAATATAGAAACATCGGGAAACATCATATATTTGATGTAAAACATTGCTTTTCTGCATCTCTCCATTAGTCGTTATCGTTATCGACAATCTCGCAATAAAAACACGAACGTCGGGCTGATATTTTTACGCGGAAATTTGTACGCAAAAGCAATATGCATTTTACGAAAAAAATTGAACGTTTTATAAAGTGGAGGCAAAACATTTTGCAAACGATGTTAAATGTATGTATGTATGTACAAAAATATAAAATCCAATCATTGCATTCCGATTTTAACCGTCGCGCTTATCAAACCTTTTAAGTGGCAAGCAGCAAGCAATTCACTTACGTAGCATTTTGTGCTAATAGGATCGCGATTCTTATACGGATCCATTACTTTAAGAAGTAAGATTCTCCTTTCTGTCGTGCCGAATAAAAATTAAGGCAGTGCGTTCGCGATAGTGAAAGACGCACCGTCATTTGTACGAAATGGAAGAAGCGAGGAAGTAATTTGTGCTTGTCCCCCGCGCGCGCTTGTCGAATCCTGTCGGGAGTAATAATTCATGTCAGTGGCCCCTAGCTACCACTGTCGGGTATTCTTTACCTGATATACAGCGCGGAGTAGAATATATCGACCCGTTAGAAATAGCCTTGCAGGTCAGCACGCAAGTTTTTACATTAACTACCATCGACCCCTCGCGTGGCAGGGTTTGCTTATGTGGCATATGGTACCGTAAACTAGCATAAACGTCATGTATTACGTTACTCTCCTCTCCAGGAAACACCTCGCTGATATTGGATGAAAGAGATTTTTTAATTAAAACAGCTCGGAGAAAAACAGCTTGAATTGAAGAATTGTTTCAGAGGGATATAGAAGAGGAAATATTGAATAAAACATTTAGAATCGATAACACGTTAACCGATAAGTGCTGGCGTGGGGATCAAACTGACCCAGACTTAAAAGCTACTTGCATTTACTAATCAAAACGTTACGTAAAGAAATATTTTTTAAGATATGAAATTTTAATTTATAATGCTTAAAAATTGTTATTTTATATTTATGTAAAACATGTCTCAGTTTACAAATTAGTTATAAATAAATATGAAAAGTTTTATTTATACACGAGATATAAATAAATTAAAACAGAGATCAAATTGCCCCTACGCAAGCACTTATGTTAATAAAAGTTACACGAGCACTTAATCAATTTTGCAACATTTATGCTTCTTAATCTTTTCCTGTGTCATACATAAATCGATCATTAAAGTTTTATTTATTATGCCTCCGCTCTATCTTCAAATATCGACTTTGAAT